TATTGCTGTTGTGGTGATTTTCCTGTAAAGTAACAGAAAGGGGGGGAGGAGGGGGTAGGACAGAGGGATTTACTTTATTGTCACAATCAGGCCCAGTCACGGCATGGAACCGTGTGGAACCGCCATTAAAGCCCGGGAGGGAGGGGGGGGGATGAGTTTGAACCAGACGGGAGCTTTGCTACAATGGATGACTCAGTGCACACAGCATGGCATCGCACCTCTACAACAATTAGAATAAAAAAAAAAGAAGAAAAACAGATTCCTCAGACTGCGTCCGCCTTGACGTGTTGGAGAGCTGAGCTATACCGCTGTAATCTTTCGTATAACTGCCTATCGGCATCTCGTTTAAGAAGCCCGCGGTGCTCGAAGGAGTCAACAACCACCGAGGGGGCGCTTGCGTCGTCATCGAGCGCGGAGAGAAACTGCTCGATCGCTGCTTTTAACACGGCGACGGCATCGCCCATGATCGCCGAGGAGGCGTTTGACAAATAAAGCACCCGCACCGCGACCTCCCCATCATCGACGAGAAGCCGCGGAGGGGGCGTCGCCCGAAGCTGCCCCATCCGACGCGCGAGATAGCTAAGGTAGGTCGCGTACATCGGCGTTCCCACAAGCCCCAAGGCCTCGAGACTTTCCACCACGCCGATGGCGAGGAGGGGGGTACAAAGGGAGTGGAGCTGTTGGCAGCGAGCTGCCCCCGCGCGGAGGGAGGCCGCCGGCTGCGTTTCCCCGAGCGCGGCCCAGGCCGTCGTCAGGCCGGCGAGAAGGTCCCCGCCCCAATCCTCCCCGCTGCCGTCCTCAAGGGCCTCACGGAGCGCACGCCGGGCCTCCCCGCAAAGCGCCGCGCGGCTCTCCTCGTTTTTCTCCTCGGCCGCCCCGGCGAGGGCCTGCAGGACGCCCGCGGCGCATCGCCAGGCCGACGGCCACGCCTTTTCCTCCCGCCCCCGTGCGAAGGGCGCGCCCGGGGCGAGAAGACGCCCCACCAGCCCTGGAAAGCCGTCGTAATGGCATCGGTGGAGGGCGTAGAGGAGCTCCAGAACCTCGCCCTCGTCATTCCCCTCGTTTTCTTCGCTTTCCCCCGCCATTAGCGTTGGCCGGCCCTCCGCCAGGGCGGCGGCGGCCTGGAGGATGGACGGGGAGACGGCCCGGCCGCCGAGGAGCCGCAGGAGGGCGTGGAGAACGCGCGTCGTGCGGGGCACGCCGAATTCCGCCCCCCTCCCCATCATCATCATCCGCAGTAAAGCCATCTCGAGCTGTGGAAAGCTCCGAGGGAGGAAGCCGCACATCGCAAGGCCCTCCAACAGCGCCACCACCTCGGCGGCCGGCTGCTCATACCGCAGCTCCGCCCCGATAATCGTGCTCGCGGCCGAGAACAGGCGATCGTAGCGCCTATGAACGTCCTCGACCGAGGACGACCGCATCATCTTCGCCAAAAGCGGTAGGACGCGGAGGATGTCCTTCAAACTCAGGCGATCCTTACTCATGGCGACCTTTTGCGCGATGTGCTGAACCAAATCCCCGACCAGAACCCCCCCTCCGCCTTCCGAGTCCCCCGCGGCCTCCAGACGATCCAGCAGCTCAACCATCACCGCGGAGCCTTTCGACCCGAGACGCACAAACCGCAGCCCCTGCGCGAGCCGAATTCCAATCTTATAATGCACATACGCCATCGGATGAGTCTTCTCGGAGACGTGTTGATGCGCAATAAGGGGGATGTTCTCGCCATCCCAACTCATCACGGACGTCTGCGGGCCGTCAAGACGGTAGAGAAGACGCTGGCATTGGTACAGCACCAGCGTGGAAAAGTGCAAAAGACAGGACCGTTGATGCCGCACCCCCTCATCACGCAGCTCCGCACGAAAGAAGGACTGATTCTGCTCCCGCACGCGTACGATAAAGTCCAACATCAAACATAGCTCCGTCGCACTGAAGTTCTTCACGGAGTCTTGATCGCCAAAGACCCGCGAATCGCACAAACGCGCGAGCCCTCCGAGAACCCCCTCGTCGAGCGTGACCTCAGGGGGGCCGTCCTCGACCTCGGAAAGTCTGGAAAAGCCATAACACGTCTCCTCCTCCCCGATTGTGAGTAAAATGCTCAACACACGAATCGCATCCGCGGGCGTGTGGAGCGTCGGCAGCGTTAAAAGCATCGCGCGAAACGCACGGTGAGCCTCGGAGAGCGATAAGGAGGCATCCCGGGCAGTCTCGACAAAAAAGCTTTCAAAGGGAACCCCGTGGTTCGCACAGAGCGCCGCGCACGAAATAAAGCGATCCGGCGTCCCTTGAGCGGGCCCCCCCGACGTCGGGCCTTCGAAAGGCGCCTCCGGATCGGATTTTCCATCCCCTCGATGGGCCTGGGCATTCGGCGTAAAAAAGCCAGGTTGGCCCAGTTGCACCGATCGCGCCAAAACCCGCAGTTCGCGGGTCAGGGCGATGGGCAAAAACGCCTCCTCGCCGGCCACGTCGTAGGGCTGGCGTTTCCGCACGCAGAAGGTCGACGCGGCCTCGATCCAGACGAGCCCGTCCAACATTTCGTCGGGGGAAAGCAAAGGGGCCTCGTCCTCGGCCTCTTTTAATTCCCCGGCCGCGGTCAGGACGGCGGAAGGCCAAAGAAGCTCGCGGACGTCTTCGTAGGCGCGGCGGATGGCCAACCAATAGCGCTTGCGCATGAGCTTCCGGTCGTACATCTGGTAATCCGGCCCGGTGTTGAGCTCGCGGTAGGTGAGGGAGGTTTTCATCCCGCTCGTGTCCATCAAGACGTAGTCCTTACAAAGGCGAATAAACGCCGCGAGGAGCTCGCGCAGGCCCGCCGCGTCGACCCCGACGACCCACGCCCCTGTGGAGGAATCGGGGAGGGTATGCCGATTCAGGCAGTCGTCGACGGCCGTCGGCATCTCGTCCGCGAGGTCGCCGGTATCGCTAAAGCCCGTCTCCAACTCCACCCAGCCCTTGGCGGCGGGGGAGCTCCGCCGGGCCTGCGGGTGGAGAATCCGCGAGATGGGAATGTTGAACTGAAAGGCCCGGCCTCGGCGGTTGGTGTAGGTGACCTTCGTGGTGCCCGGGATATTCCGCGGGACGGCGTGGGAGGGGCCCTGCTTGACCTTCAGTTTGCCTTGCATGCGGTGGGTCGGGTGGTTTCGCCCGTTGATATTCCCCACCCCGCGCCGGGCGGTGCGCAGGGCCAGGGGGAGAAACCCCGCCCCGACCCGACGCATTTCGCGGTGTGAGAACAAGGGAGGGAAGGGCATGCCCCTGTGGGATGGACCTCGGCTACACAACCAAACAGAAAAGATGGCACACTAATAAGGGAAATCGCGTTGGAACCAGGGAAAAAGGGGAAAGGTGAAAAGAAAAATAATAATAATAAAAGGTTCAATCTCATCATATAATGGATGATGATCTGGAATTCAGACCCCGCCTCCACTAAGGGATTGTTTACAACTTTTTAATTAGTCAAGCAAATTAAATGCTAAAGCAATTATATTAATATTGATGTATATACATACATGTATATTTCCGCATAAAATAGAGATCTATTCATATTTTGATGAACATTCTATATTTAGTTGCTGAAACCACTATGCTCTTTTAATCAAGGAACTATTTTCCAAGATCAGTGCACACACAAAAAGGTCGAGCATGATAAAAGTTTATAAATGACAAAAAGTTTGGAACTTCTTACACCTCCTGAGGCAACATATAAATAAGTAGCATACATCGTTTTCATAACGATAGTTGTTGCTTCATTTCCCCTTTATCTATATCATTTATGGCCATGAAATTTTATATTCTATTTGGTCATTTTTTCCTTTGGGAAATGAATGTTTTATGGGTGTTTGTTTTTCCAAACGTTAAAGGAGATTCTTTGTTTAATTTTTGGTGAGCCAATATGGTAAAAAAAAAAAAAGTATAAATCAAAACAAAATGTAACTATTCTCAGGCTAAAGGAAAAAGAGATATTTAAAAAATTCTACAGTTAAGTTAATTATATTTCACTTGGAAGTTCGCTTAAAAGGGAACTATTGGAATGATAAATGTATTTTCAGAATCTATCAACGTAAATATAGAAAAATACCTACGTAATCAAAAAAAATAATGAATGATCTCTATTTTTCAAAGTAAAATTCTTTAAAAGGAAGCCGCCAACAATAAGTGTTAATAAAACAAACAGTATTTATAGTAATATCTCATTTGCTGCTAATACCACTACTGTGCTATTAACAAAGATATACCCCTCTACCCCATCGCGTCCTACCCTTTACTGCGCGATGAGTTATATCTTGGGCAAGCTATGTCGTCGTTTTTTTTTATCGCTGAAATTCAAATTCGAAATATTAGTAAGCTCTTCGAGCTTTGATGAATGAATTCGCGAATGTTTACAACTACAATTTACCGTAATATTCGATGAGCTATTCACCTCCAGAGGCGGCGTCCCGATATACGGCAGCTGGTACTCCCGGTGAAGTTCCTGCGCGATGCTCGAATGCTGGATGGAAGTGCGCATAAACTTCTCCGTGGGAGGATCCCTTGCGGAGATGGTGGGTTTCTTCAAGGTATCGCGCAAGCTCCTCTCGTTCAACTCCAAGGTTGCACGTTTGGAGGAGCGGTGGTGATGCCGACGCCGCCCCGAGCCCTGCGTGAGATCCATCTCGCGAAAGCGCTTAAAATAAGGGTGCCGTAGAGCCTCCTTGGCGGTCGAGCGCTCGCACTCGTTGTACGCCAGAAGCTTCGTCATGAGGTTCATCCCGCACGCGGAGAGGTTCGGGACGAGCGCCGCGAGCCCGCTGCCCGTCCTCGGCACGCAATCCACCAGCCCGTGTTGCCCCGCCGCCTTAAACCAAAACAGGTCCCCGAGCGGCGGGGTGCCCAACACACTATGAATCCTGTGAATCTGATCCAGCTCATTGGACCCGGGAAAGAGCGGATAAAGGGTGCAGAGCTCAAAGAAAACGCACCCCACGCTCCAGATATCCATCTTGGATTTATAACACCCGTTCGTTAACAGGCACTCCGGGGCGCGATACCAGCGGGTGGAGATGTACTCCGTGAAGGGCCCGTTCCCACGCCCGCTCCGCGCCGACCCGAAGTCCGCGATCTTCAGGGTGTTGTCCTCTAGGTTAATCAGCAGGTTTTCCGGCTTGATGTCGCGATGCAGCATCCCGCTGTTGTGGATGTGCTCCAAACCCTTTAGAATTTGGTACATCAGGTAGGCGATTTGCTCCTCCGGAAGGTAGTCCTTTCGAGATTTGATCAGATCGTAAAGGTTCATCCCCATCAGTTCAAATACTAACGCTAGACTCCCCGAGGAGCGATCAAACAGAACATGAATGAACTTTACAATGTTGGGATGGGATTGCAGCCTGCGAATCGACTGAATCTCACGGAGATTATTCACTTGCTCCATGGAACTGAAACGCTTCTTCATGCATTTTATGGCAACAAGCGTTTTGCTATTCTTGTCTTGTGCCTTGAAGACCTCACTGAAGGTACCCTCTCCTTTTCGACCTAATATTCGATAACTCTGCATGTTAATTAATCTAAAATTTCTAAATTAACACGTTTTCGATTTTCATGTATTTCCTACCTTGACAAGTCGGAAATATCGATAGATTAACCTTTTAGAGTATAAATAATATTATAGACAAAGAACCATGTATCGTGTATGTGTGTGTGGTTGTACGTGTTGGGGTAACGCAAGTATGGTATAGCCATATATCACGAACCCTCAAGACCAATTTACTAACAAATGAGAAAAAAAAATAGAAAAGTGTGGGTGAATAAGAATTAAATTGAAAGATCAACGTATAAGGTGTTGTTCGTGATTTGAAGATAAAAAGAAAGATCCACAAACACCAATATATCGTAACTTACTATTACAAGACCAGAACTCTCCTCAAAGTTTAGTAAATTATGAGGAAGGAAACAAGACTTGAAGTGATATTGTTATGTCTATTATATATGTAGATGGAGATAGCTTTCCATATGAAGTAAATAAACTGAAATCGGATTTTACCCATTTGTATGATAAAATATTTTTGCATCTACTTTGATTTAAGAAACAGACATGAAAGGTAAAAAGCGAGACATCTCCTTAGTTACCGCTTTTTTCTTTCAAGACATCAGATTAAACGATATTCTAAATAGTGCGAATGACACTGAAGGAAAATGAAAGCCGCTCAAATATCTACATGGTGCATCTGATGGTAGGGGGGAAAGGGGGGGGGGGTAATGGAAGATAAGTAAATGTTATATTATATATGAAAATCGGATGGAAGATCAAGGCCACCGTAATATCATGATATCGCTCTCATGACACCGGCTGAGAATCGTATTGGTTCATGAAATCTGTTCAACACGTCACTTTACCCAAATCAGCGATTGAAAGCATGATGGAGTGAGTTGAAATAGATTTCATGAAATTAGATATAGATATCCATAAAGTTATTGATAGATAAAGACTTAGTGTTATATATTTACTCTGTGTGTGCCATCCATGGGAAGAAGCTATATAATCACAAAATAATAATAAAAATTGTGAGATGCGTGTGTGGAGAATACGAAAAGATTTTTGGTAGAAACTTTAAAAATTTTATTCATAGACCAACCATCAAACAATACATAAGAACTTTTCTTTAAAAACAGAAATATTAATCAGACTCATTTTTAATAAAATGAAAATATAGTATACATAATATCTCCTCGGATCTTAGTAAATCGTTTTTCTAATGAAATGAAGAAAATATGATGCAATCGCCTCTGAATTCAATTTAAGAAAAAAATAAAATCATAAAATATCATAATCAAGTTCGTAATCCAAAGCACATATTTTTTTCTCACATTTCATTTAAAACAGAGTTCTCAATCTGTATATTATTATTTCTAAAAGAATTGTATATATGCACTATGTCGAAAAAATACGTCTTGAATATGGAAATTTTACAATACTTTAATATCGGGATTACCTTCCGAGAAAAAAAAACAAGAGCATCAATCGCAAGTTAAGATAACCTTATAAACACTCTTATGAATCCTTATTCTAACGTCCATCAAGATCGCGACCAACCTTGAGGACTCGTCACTTTTCGATTCCGGACGTCGTGCTAGACGACGTCCGGATTCCACGTCTCCCGTCGCGTGAATTCGCCGGGACGCGCCTCATTCGAGCCCGGGAAGTACCACCACCGAATCAGCCCCTGCAGCTGCCAAGGCGCGCCGTCGGGGCTGTGGGCGATCAACCAAAAAGTCACCACCGTCGCGTAGGCGGCGACGAGGATGTCATCGGTGTAGTGCGAGCGCGAGGCCAGGATGCCATAAAATGCGATCCCCACCAACGCGGTGGCCCCCACCCGAAAGGCAAAGCGGTGGAGATAGACCCCGTAATCCCAAAGAATGGCCCAGGCCAAACAGATGATGATGGTATGCCCGCTGAACATCAAATCCCCGCAGTGAATCGACCCGCTGCCGAAGGTCACAAGGGTCAGAAGAACGTTTAACACAGGGTGCTCAATGGACTGGGGGTGCTGGCAGTGGTTTTCCGTGGCTGGGTAGGCCGTGCACACAAGCACCACCGAGCGGTACAACAGCATAATGGTGTAGACCGTCAAAAAACGAATCAGCGCGATTAAATGAATCTTTTCCACCGCGTATGGACGCCTGCCGGTGTCCACGACGGAAAATAAAAAGCGATTCACCGGTCCGCCGATGTAGCGGATGGTGGAGAATAGTTTTATTTTTTCGTGCGATCTCGTGTGACGATCTAAAACGTAGAGCTTTAATATCGTATAGGCCACACTGAGGTTTAACACGAGAATAATTAGATCTACAATAGGCTCCATCCATTCCAGAGTGGGGAGTAGCTCAAAGAAAAGGTCTGGCAAAGGTCGCACATCCCGTGGATTGGGCATGCGATGATGGGTGAAAAGTAGAGCCACGGAAACAATGACAGCAGAAATGACAAATAAAATTAAGAATCGAATAACTTGAGTAAAGAGCGGTAAGGCCTTAGTATAGGATGAAACGTCTCCTCCAACATTGAACTCAACATCCGTTACACGAGAATCTAAGTCTTCAATTTTATTTTCGATCATAGGTAACGAGTGCTGTTAACAAGCCCTCAAAAGCTTGAAAAATACGTAAAATTTGAAAATAATTCACAAAATTTTGTAGAATAAATAGCAAAACAAAAATATAAATTTTAGGATTAAATGAAATCCGAAGGTTTAGTTCACTTGTCCACTAAAAAAAAAAAACGAACCTTTAAGAAGTGTAATTTCCCTTGGACTACAATAAGATGGTGAAGTTTCATAAATATATATATCTATAAGCATAGAAAAAATAGTCCATGATGACTACAAGACACATACAGGGGGTTTGCTGCTCTCATTTAATGCCAGCTTTAACCATCGGCTAAGAATAATAACTTCATACCGTCTTTGCAATACACGGTCTACAACAAAATAATGAATGATGCTGACAGACGCTTGTATTTGATTTCTGAACCCTCAATTTAGGGTTTTAGATGATTCTCCCCATTAAAGAAGAAAAACAATATAAAGACATGTATTTCTTTAATTGGATATCGAAGCTATATAGATGAATCCACGTGTGCATAAAAAACAAGGAATGAAAAGGAACGCGGAAACTCTCAATGCAGTTCACTATTAAAGGTCTCCAAATTTCTTAAAATAGACACAAATAATCCATCGAGGTTATCGGAATATTTTGATAAGTTTAATAATTATTTCCGAAAGATGTACTTGCTTCTAGAAGCTGCGGTATTCATCCAGTTCGATCAGTGTGGTTTTAGGTAGCAACCATGGAATAATGTATCGCTCGTTCAACAGATATGAAAAACAAGATGATGAAACATATTAAAAATACCCTAATTGTGATAACTGGGCCATATCTAATCACAAAAATATTAACACTGATTTGATATTCAACCTCTTCCGAAACGCAAATTGTTCTGATCCTTTCCACGACCTCATGGGTCTGCTAATCAGCTTCAGAAACGAACAGAAAGGGAAAATAACTATCCTGAAGTATTAAAATTTAAAAAAATAAAGAAATCTACGGGCTGAAACGAGCAAAGGGAAAAAAGGAAAGGAATAAGGTTAACCATGAAAAGTTAATACAAAAAAATGTACCCACGTGTAAAAAGGCTACAAGTAGCTTTCACGCGAATCCATTCGTTATTGCCTATTAGGTGCATCCTATCCAAGGGAAAAGTGCAAACATATCGATATATTGGAAGGAAAAAAGAAGTTGCGCTTGCACACCACGCTGGAGGGCAGTTTTACGATCTCGCGCCACTTCCCTCCAAGGGAATCCTCTCGGAGCACCTCAGCTGCTCGCACATCGCGCCGACGAAGCGGAGGCCGGGCCCAACCGCGTCCGTGAGCGCCGGCGTATGGTATGTCGGGTAAAAAACCCTACACCACAACTCCCCATCCACGCGCCGCGCGAGAGGGAAGGCGCTCTGAGGGATAAACCCCCATCGAAAAGACCCGCAGGCGTCGTGGAAGGCCTTCATCAAGGCCGCCATCGCCGCGGCGACCTCGTGGGCGGGGCTCACGGGCCCGACGCTCCCCTCCCTGCCCGCCGCGAGGCGTTGTTGATAGCCCTCATAGCCCTTCAGGAGGTCGCCCAGCAGGCCGTGGTGGAGCATCCACCGCGCGTTATTCGGGCTCCTCACCGCGAGCACGCCGAGCACGCGGACGCCGACGTCGAAGGGAAGAACGCCATCCTGGATTTTCCCCCACACGGCCTCACACAATCGGCGGGACTCAAACTCCGCCGCCTCGCGCGAGGTGGAAGAAAGGCCCGGGGGGTCGCGTGGAGGGTTCTCCGTTGGGCCATTGAAATGCGAGGGGGAGTGCAGGAAGACGGGCTGGTGAAGTGTCGCCCAGGCATGGAAGACATCCGCGATGTAAAAGTACGGGATGTCCTCCGTCGCGTGTTCCTCCAGATATAGTATCTGCTGCCGTACGCCACATTGGCTGAGAATCTCCTGAAAGCCCACACGATCCGGCGTGGATTTCGAACTGGCCTCGCTTTCGAGGCGCAAAATCGCGTCCTGCAGGAATGATTGGGGATAGCCATACTTCTCCACTAAATGTTCGGGAAGCAAACTCTGGAGATGAAGCCGCATTTTCAATTGGTTTGTCTTAAACCAGCGCGGTAAGCCGGAGGAAAGGAAATTGCCCTGATCAAGAAGCACAAAAGCGCCCCAACCTGTTGCAAAGCCTACAATAGGCAGAAACATATTTTCGGCACACTTGTAAGCGGGCTTAGCCATTTGAGTAAAGTATTTCTTAAAATTCATGGCCCTTAGTGTGGGAAAAAAAAGAATGCGTGTTTTAACAAAAAAGGGGGGATAAAATGAAGAATTCATCGATCAACAAAAAGTCATTTTCCCCATTCTTAGCAAAGGATTTTACAACAAAATTCTAAAAAGTGTGAACCTGCATCAAGCGCACCTTATTCCTTTTTTATTAGAATAAGTTGGCTTTGTATTGAAAATTGTTGGCGTAATTGATAAAATTTTAGATACGCAATGACGATATTTTCTGATAGTCTAGTAAGAAAGGGTGCACTTAATTTAAGTAAACACTCTTTAGGTTAATTTAACATTTTCAACCCTTCGTCGAACTGCTCCTGGGCGACTTCTGCCATTATGCGTCTGGCTTTGCGCGCATTATACCACCCCGTGATGCGTTTAGTTAAAAGATAAGAAACAAGAGCCAAAATGGCATGCAATAAGATTCTCAAGATCAACCTTTTAAAGAAACTTGTTTTTTTGTGCAATTTGGTAGATCGATGTCTCACCCGAATTGGTTCTTGAGGTAGTTTCTGTAACTCCGCTACCCTCTTCCGCTCATTAATAATAAACTGCTCATTTTGAATTATCTCATCCTGTTCAATTTGAGCAAGCTTTTGGTTAATATTTACATAGTTGCCCACAAACTGAAAGACGCTTCCAAAGGCCATTTGAATAACCTGAGAAAACATGTTCCACAGCTCTAGGATGCGGCTGATCATAAACATCATCATTTGGCTTCGCTGTGCCTCAGGGATCATTCCGAACATGCCCATCCCCATGCCCATTCCCATTCCCATCCCACCCATCCCCATCCCCATCCCACCCATTCCGAAGCCGTACGGGTCCATGCCGTAGCCATAAGGCGACATCCCACCTCCGTAGGGCGCGTAGCCAGGCCCACCCATAGTGTTATTGGCAATAGCAGTATTCGTGGTAGGAGTAGTAGTAGTATTATTCGCATTCGCTGTGGTTAACTCAGCCCCAAAAGGGGTCTGAGCGGGTATTGTCAACTCCTTCGAGGGAATTGCTAGATCATGGGCGGTAGACGAAGCACACGCCGAGGGATCGCCTGGTGACCCCGAGATCGTGGGATTTTCTGGATCTTTGTTCATGCTTACTTGACGGAATACTCAAACTAGATAAATAAATAAAAAGTTTGAAACTGAAAAGAGGAAATATTTTGATTATTCAGTGCCTGATTAATGCCCCCATTTCTTCGTTCGAAGTATCAAAAAAGCACAACCACACTGTTTATTTATTTTTAAAGGATGCATGACGTAACGATTATGAATTCCACAGCCTTTGATAATCCGACAAACCAATCCGCAGAAACATTTGAAGTAATGAACTGCTTTGATGGTTTTTTTTAGATAATATATATGTATATATGTACTCCAAAAAGAGTTCATATGTTATTGTTATTTCCCTCATTTTTTAAATCGAAACGGTTTTACACTTGAACATTATGCGACAATAAATATGATTCATATGAACCGCGTCCCTATGAAACAAAAGGAA